CTTTGTAGTTGCAAAAACTCCTCACCCCTTATCTCTGAGCCTCAGATTTCCTTTCAGATCAATGGAATTTTCAGGCATATTTTGCAAGGAGTTTTGGAGAATGCATCAGATCAAGTCTGCAGAATGCACAGCACTGGCACACAGTAGGCACGAGTAAGTAGTAGCGATTCTTAGGAAAGGAACATCTTCAATTTCTTCTTTCCCCTCTGCTAGAGTTACTTCTCCATAGCCATCGTAATTCCGCTATTTGTCTAGGAGGAAGGACACAGGTATATTTTCTTTCTTTTAAAAAAAATATATTTTATTGATTTTTTACAGAGAGGAAGAGAGAGGGATAGAGAGTTAGAAACATCAATGAGAGAGAATCATCGATCAGCTGCCCCCTGTACACCCCCACATTGGGAATGGGCCTGCAACCAAGGCATATGCTCTTGATGGGAATCGAACCTGGGACCTTTCAGTCACAGTCCGATGCTCTATCCACTGAGCCAAACCGGTTTCAGCACAGGTATATTTTCAAATTGGCTTCTGAAGGCTGCAGAGTGCCATGTGCTCTTGCTTCTGTCTGTCTTTCCTCACAGCCCAAGGATGTCCTATGTGGCTTGCCTGGCCTAACCCAAACTGAGCCAGAGAGGCCAGATCTTGTGCCAGACAGATTGGAGTCTTTCTGCCGGCCCCTGGATCATTTACTGAGCTTCAGTGCTTTGAAAATATGAAGCATGCTGAGGAAGGGTTTATTAGGCAATTTTTACTATGTCCTCACACTAACGCTGCATTAATCATGTTGGATCGTACAAGTACCCAAGTGCTTCCTGAATAGGTAATTAATTAAAATATTATATGCAAGTGTCATACAGTATGTGAGGAGTTTTATGGAAATTATTAACATTTCTGTGAAAAATTCTCTTTGGGCCTGTTTATAAATGTATGCTAAAGATACGGCATTTTTGATATATAAATATACTATGCGTGTGTGTGTGTGTGTGTGTGTGTGTGTGTGTGTCAAATGTTTGGTGATGATTAAGTTTGGAGTGGGCTTAGTTAGATTATAAAGCTGGAAGTTAATACTGAAAATTTTTCCAAGTGTCATTAAAACTTAACACAATTTTTTTTTTTCAGTTTTAAAGAATAACTGTCTTAAAAATCGAACAAATTAGAAAGTTTTATTGGCAGTAATATTGTGTTTCTCAAACTCTGGTTGCCTTGGTTACTCTTGGAATGTTAAAATAATCTGGGCCTTTAGACAGTGAGGACTAGTCTCCTATTTATTTTGGGCCCATGATGGTGCTAATTAATCACTCTCTAGGCTGTGTGAGGAGAACATGTACATGCTGTCTTTAAGGAAAGATGGCTATGGCAGCCAGCAGGGAGGATAATTTCTGAGCCCCTAAAGAAAATAGCAATATTAATATGGAGAATCACTATCTTCCAGACACCCATGAGTCCTTTTCTAAATGTTTCTGGAGCACAAAGGCACATCTTTGACCAGTTTGTTTAAAGTTACTCTTAGAATTGAGAGAAGGGGGCAGTTTATGGTCCTAATCCACATCTGTTATTTTTTCCCTTTAATTATTGTTCTCCACCCCACTCCTTTCTCAAAGATAAGCAGTGCTGAAGGTGGCAATGTCCATTCCTGAGAGGCAGTGGTTCTCACAGATGTATTTATGGCCTGCTGTTGTACCTAGCTCTGTGGTGGGCTGAAATCTTATCCTAGAATTAGAATTTCAAAGCTGATTTTTCAAACCTGAGTTTCTTATTTCCATTGTGTTCCCCACCCCCACCCCCAATTCTGGTTTATATTGAGGACAATCCTAGGTTTTCCAGGTAAACCTAAGTCCCTTATTTAAGTAACACTGCTTGTTGGAAAATTGTTTGGCACCCTTTGAATTTTAGAAGTTCTCTTGGTCGAGTTTTGTAGTCACAAAGTGGAAAGGAGCCTTGAGCATTAATAATCCATAATCCACCAGGAGAATTTGTAATACCTCACGCTATCTCTTCTGATCTAAAGGTAAGCTCTCAAAACTCACCTTTAGATCAGATTGGAGGCACAATCTGAGGAGGGCAGGTCTCAGAAGCTAGGGTATCTGTCTAAATACACGTGGTTTCCTTCTTTTGTTCACTTACCTAGTTAGACTTATTGACTGTAGAATTGTTGAAGGATAGGGGAATGGCTATAAGGTAGAGCAGTCACATACAAAACCCACTGTGATTTGTATTTTAATCTTTCCACTTTACTGTTTCAGGACCATCAGATAATCCATACTGATGACTTAAGTGTTTTAATTGATTGGCAGATAATTAACAGTACCAAGAATAAATAACACAAGAAGGAAAAAGAGAAAAATGAGAAAAATGTGTGCTGTGTTCCACCTGTCACTTAGATATATTCAGTCTTCACCATGAGGTGAAGAAGATAGTGTCACCATCTTATGGATGAGGACACTGGGAATCAGAAAGGTCCAGTGTCTTTCTGAAGGTGACAAAGTTACTGAGTGGTGATGCTAGGATTGGAACCTGGCCTGCTGCCTCCCAGCAAACTGAAAACCTTAAAGGAGACTAGCAACTGGATATCTGTGCAGTTGAGTGTACTTAACATTTTCTTCCTGTTGCCTAAAAATAAGTCATGTCATGTGATCTCGACGGTGAGCTTCCTGCTGAAGCAAAGATGAAGCCAAAGAGTTTTCCTAAGTTTGCAGATCTCCTGAAGTTTAAAAATGGTGGGAGAGTGCATTTTCTTTTTTAAAGCTAATGACTAGAGTAATGATGAGTAAGAAGAAACTTAAGACACAGATTGATAAAGGGCTCACTGGCACTGAGGTGGAAGACAATGATGTGGGGGAGGAAAGTGTGGATGAAGATATAGTGAACGTATTTGACTGCATAAGCATTGGAAGTGATTGAAATGTGTTTATATTCCAGAAGCCTTATAATACCAAAAATAAAAAAATTGGGCAATTGATAGCAAGTAAGGCCTTGATGATGTAGGACAAGAACTTGGTGGAAGGAATTGCATTGGATCTCTCTCTCTCTCTCTCTCTCTCTCTCTCTCTCTCTCTCTCTCTCTCTCTCTCTCTTACACACACACACACACACACACACACACACACACACACACACAGTCAAATACTGGGAAAGCTCTAATGTCAAGCCAGACTGCAAACCTTTAATGTCAAGCCAGACTGCAAGCAGAGGGACTTTAAATATATCTACATATATAGGGTATCACCCAAATATGTATACACCCACTTTGAATAATTATAAATGCAGTATTTATTAAAATACATTTTATTTTCAAAATTGAGCTATCAGCTGTTAAATTGCATATACATTTTTTTGGGGATATCCTGTGTATTAGATGAATATCTTTTAATGGAAAAAAGTAGAATTTAGATTTTTGATTAAGACCACTGAATCACATAGTTTTAGGATCAGGAATGATAGGAAATGCTTATAAGTTGAATAATTTTATTAATATGAAACTTTATAGATGGTGATTGAGGGCAAAGTACAAATAAGCTTGAATCCTGAATTTCCACAATTATCAGCCTTTTCCTTCCCCTTCCTTCACTTACTCACCTCTTGCATTTGTCCTGCTTGAGTAGATTCTCAGTTCAGAGTTGAAATGGTGTGCACAAAATGTCCTTTCCTTCTTTGTTTGTACTGAGGGAAGAATGCCCTGAGCTTAGGGGTTGTTCTTGTGGGATGGAATACTCTTCAAGAGTTTCATTTGCCCACTCTTTGACTCAGCATTCAAGGAGTTTGCTCAGGCTTCTCTGGTCGCTTGAATATTTCTTTTGAACAATATTCTCTCAGTGGGCCACCATAGTTTAGAACTTCTTGGCAAATTTTGAATTTTATTTTCTGGTCTGCATGTGATAAAGTGTTTTGTCTGTAACTTACACAGCAGAGGCATACAAACTTTATTGGTTCATGGAGCCCTTAGCTTCTCAGTAAAATTTTTTTTCATGTTGCCCGTAGGCAAAAAAACCCCCAAACAAATAAATCTAATGGTTCTGCTTATTAAGTAGTTGAGCTCAGACAAGTTGGTGAATATTTATCTCCTAAGAGTGCTAAAATTTTACATACATTATATAATTTTAATCATTCAGCCATACTCTTCATTCAAGCATTCATTCAAGAAACATTTATTGAGCAGCTGATATATGCTAAGCATTGTTTTAAGAGCTGCAGATATAGATATGAATAAAGCAGGTAGGGCCTTGTCCTCAAGAAATATGTAGTCTGGTATGGGAGATAGGTAATAAACAAAGAAAAGAACAGATGTGAAGAGTAGTGGCAAATAGAGATAAAAATACAGTTAAGAAAAATAACTCAGATAAAGGGAAAAGAGAATAATGGAGATGGTATTTTAGATAGGATGAAAGATGTAACTGTGAAATTGGTGGTATTATACCCATTTTATAGAGGAAGAAACTGAGTCGCACAGATGTTAAATGTTTACCATAGTCTTTTAAAAGATAGCTGGGTTTCAAATCACTCTTATCAAGGAACTGATGCAATACAATCAAGAGTTCTAATTAATTAAAGGGTAACATTATTATTATTATTATTATTATTATTATATTTTAATATATTTTATTGATTTTTTACAGAGACGAAGAGAGAGAGAGAGTCAGAAACATCGATGAGAGAGAATCATCAATCAGCTGCCTCTTGCACACCCTCTACTGGGAATGTGCCCACAACCAAGGTACATGCCCTTGACTGAAATCAAACCCTGGATCTTTCAGTCCTCAGGCCGATGCTCCATCCAATGAGCCAAACTGATTTTGGCAAGGATAACATTATTAACATATTTGTCAAACGTTGTGAGTTAATAAGTCATTGTATCTGAGTATCTGAAATTTTCTAACACGAACTCCCTCCTATAACTTGAGAATTACAGAAAGATCAGTTTCATTTGCATACTTATCAAGGATATAAAAATATTAACAGAAGGGTGGAATCACTGAGTACTCAAACATTGCCTGGAGTGTAAGTGCAAAATGATTTCTCTGAGGACAAACAAGACTTGGCTTCTTTGAAGAGGTAAATTCTCCAATTGGAAAATAATGGGGTCTAGAGGACAGTACAATTTATTTAGTTCAAGCAAAAAGATCATTTTCATTTTGATTGGCAGCTACTAAGGGTAAAATCAATTGGGAATAGCATTCCAAATTGAACAACTTAATTTCACTTTCTGTGAAAGGAAAGTAAAATATTCCACTAGAATTTTAAGGACAGAAAAAAGGATCATATAATAAAGACAACATAGAAGGGATAGTAATGTATTTTAATTATTATTATTATTATGACCAGGTAATTGGCAAAAAGAGCAAGGGAGTGATGGACAGAAGGATGCTGAGCAGGCTCCAAGGGGCATGTGTTAGCTATAGGTAAATCATGTCTGACACACTGTGTTTTGAGCATCAGAGTAAATTATCACCTGTTAACACTACTCTTAGAAGGCTAACACTACTCTTAGTTCTGCAGATAAGAACGGTCTTCAGTTTCTCAGTGCTCTGGAAAACATGTTGCAAAGGAAAGCATGTAAATACCGGTTCACATTTATTTATTCATTTTCACATTTTATTGTTAATGAAAATATTATGAAAAATTCTAAGCATGCAGAGTGGTATTAAATGAAACGTACATGGCTTCCCAACTTTAGTACTACTCCCCAGAGACAATCATTTCTAACTAACATCAATCACCACATATATGTATTTATATATAATAGGTTATGTGTTTATTTCCTAATTTATCAACTTTAGACAGTATCGAATTCTGGTCGTGAAAGAGGAATTTATCTTATACAGTCTCACCTCTCCCGTCCAAAATTATATATAATTTTATAATATTTTATAGTATATACAATTTATCATGTTTTATTTTTTCAAATTGAAATATAACTGACGTATAATATGAGTTTCAGGTGCACAACATAATGAATTGATATTTGTATATATTGCAAAATGATCACCACAATAAGTCTAGCTAGCATTCATCATCACACATAGAGTTATACTTTTTCTTGTGATGAGAACTTTGAATTTTACTCTCTTAACAACTTTCAAATATACAAGACAGTATAATTAATTATAGTTGTCATGATGTACATTACATGTGCAGGACTTATTTATCTTATAATTTGATATTTATATCTTTTGACCACGTTCACCCATGTATAGTAGTTTTAGATTTTCAAGTTTCTAACTTTAATATGTAATTAATACCTCTAGATTACTTTCTCTCTTTCTACTTGTAGTTCAATTCCTTTTATATTTTTCAGTATTTATATGCTTAGTTGTTGAAAACTGAAAAACAAGATACCACACTTGCAATATTATGATTCAAGTAAGTATTATTTACTGTAGAATCAACTGTATATCTGACCTTCAGAGAAGAATGTAATTCTGTGGAACTGAACTCTGGCTTCTCAAAGGAGAAGGTCCAGGAATTATAGTCAAAAGAATTTCCTCTTAAAAAATATCTGTATTAGTTTCTCAGAATCAGGCCAAAGTTTAAGTTTGCTTCAAATTTAGAACATGGCTTTAGGGCACAACTTTCTATTTTTCCTGGAGCTTCTAATAAATTTGCTTTATATTTGTTGACACAATGAATATGTCTTATTCACCATGCTATTAGATCTTCCAGTGTAAAAATTATGAGTTTTATTAAATGGAATCTATTCTTGTTTTAAAGACATTATTATTGGACTAACACACCTGGCACCTTAGAATTTTTTTCATGGCACTGCTAGGTTAGTTTGCTTCTTTATACACTCTTTCTTGAAGTCTTTTTTTGTAATTTCCTCGTAAGGAGTATATAGGGGATATATGTCTGTAAACATTTTTTTCTCTTATTTAATACTAGAGGCCTGGTGCACGACATTTGTGCATTTGAGGGGGGAGGGCCCCTCAGCCCAGCCTGGGCCCTCTCACAGTCCAGGATCCTTAGAAAGTTGTTAAGCTGGCAAGCGGACAACCCCCCCAGGGATCCTTAGCGCTGCTGGGTAGGAAGGAGAGGCTCCTGCCACCACCACTTTGCTCGAGCCTGGCTCCTGGTTGAGTGGTGCTCCCCTGTGGGAGTGCACTGACCACCAGGGTGGGCAGTTCCCGTGTTGAGCATCTTACCCCTGGTGGTCAGTGTGCATCATAGCAACTGGTTGTTCCACTGTTCAGTCGATATGCATATTAGCCTTTTATTATATAGAATTTACTTTAAAATGTTATTATATTTCTATTTAGGTTGGTTGGGTAATGTTCCCTTGGAACTGAATAGGTAATATTGCATTTTTTTTTTCAATTACCCAGTGTTGTTTATGAACAGTCTGATACCAGTCTCATTCTTTTCCTTTTATAATAGGTTTCCCACCCCACCCCCTCTTTTTAAAAATTAAAAATTTTCCTTTTGTTTGTTGTTTGTAATTTTATAAGGCTGGGTAAAGTTGTAGTTCTGATTGACACTTGGTGGGTTTTCAATTCCATGTCATCAGCTTTGGGAAGTATTTGCCTATTTGAAAACAATTCTTCCTCTTTCTTTGTTTGTTCTTTTCCTCTGGAAATCTTATTAGATAGTTATAATAGCTAAATTGATTTTTCTAAGCCTATTAACTTTTCTCTCAAATTTTAAACTTTTTTGACTATTTGTTCTATACTTTGTGAGATTTTTTAAAATGTGATCTTCCAAACTTTCTATTTAATTTGGCTAAAAATAACAACAAAAGAAGCTAACATCACTCTTGTTCTCCCACTTCTGAAAAATTTAAAGCAGTTTATTCTTATTTTATGACTGCAGTATACTCTTGAAACTCTGAGTTTTAAAATAATTACTAATTATTTTTAAAAATAATAATTATTGTCACTTTCTCTAGAGTCAGTTGTTATTGTCCTACCCTACAATGGTCTTGTGTTTTGATTTTGATTTTTAAAATTTTGGGTGACATTTATTTCTTTGTTTAGCTTTTAAAATTAAGGGGCTAACCACTTGTAATAAATGTAAAAGTAAGAACATGTGCATGACTACTGATATTATTTATAACATTATTTGCAGTAGTAAAAGCCTGGAAATAACCCATGTTATTGAGTGAGATGATACTATAAGAAATATATTATATGGAGTGGTATATGAGATATTTTGTTAGATTAATAAAACAAGGCAACGTATAGAAAGTATGTATAGTATGTTAATAATTGCTGAGAAAAGGGAGATATACAATAAATAAATATAAATATGTGCTTATATTTTAAGAAATGAAAGGATAAAACATACAATTAAAAAAATGCATGGGGAGAGAGAATAAGGTGATGCTATTTTGTATATTTGACTTTGGAATCATGTACATGCTTCACATAATTATAATGCAAAATCAAAATTAGAAAGATAACCTCCAACTACCCCCAAATTAATAGTAAAATGAGACCAATAAATCTAATTATATATTTAGTTCACAGAAATGAACTATACTAAGTGCTTTAAAACAGAGAATTATGCCCCATGGCAAAAATAATTCAAAAACTCTTAAACTGTTTTTAGAAATTACCTTGTTGATGTTATTCTTGATATCAGTAGTAGTAATATAAGAAAACTAGCAATTATGTTGGTGTTATTGAAGACTGGTATTTTTGGCATGGAGAATGGGTGTTAAGGTACACAAGATTAATAATGTTAAGTTTAAAGTTCTGTTATCCCGATTTTGAATGGGAAATATCATTATGAAATTGTGAAATATGTTGTATGTATGTATATACATGTATTTATATATATTAATTCATCTGTAGGGTGTCTACCTAAATTGTATATATTTTGAATAATTATAAAGGCAGTATTTGTTCTTCCACTGGGTTTTCAAACTTTCAATAGCATTGTAGGATGAATTTCCTTTGTTCAAAGCTTAATATGGCTGGAAAGAAAGAAACATCAATTGAGCTATCAGCTTTTAAGAGTGTGTATACATGTTTTTGGTACAACCTTGTATATTTTAGTAGCTCTCTCCATTGAACAACTGAAGTAATGGTGACCAACTCGTAGCAATCCCTAGCATCAAGGTTGTGGTCTCTAAGTACTATTTTTCATTAAAATGTAAGAACTTGAAGAAATGGCTGACTGCAGGGCAGGGGTAAGAAATAAACAAGATAAGCCTGTAATATGTTGTCTTTCTATAAAGCAGGGAAACTACCAAAGACTTATGGGTCATGTCAAAAGGATTCAGGAGCCAGCTTACCATATTTTCTGCTGTATAAGACGACTTTTGAAATGAAAAAAGTCAACTGAAAATCGAGGTCGTCTTATACGCCGAGTATATCCTGAAAAACGTCTTGATATGCCGCTAAACGAATTTTCCAACTCGATCCCGAAAATCGTCTGGATATGCCACTAAACGAATTTTCCAACTCGATCCCACACCAATCACTGCAAGGCTGCTCGGACAGCCTCTCTAACTTAGCCAATCCAAGCAGACTTTTTATGCATGCAAATTATAGTACATGTTCTGTACCCGAAGCTACACTGTGTTCTAGTAAAAAGCCTGCTCAGATTGGCCAGAGTCAGAGAGGCGGTCTATTAAAAAAAGAACTGGTGTTGCCTCGGAATTGGGGGGTAGTCTTATACAGCGAATATAGGCCTAAACCTATGTTTTAACTGTAAAATTAGGGGGTTGTCTTATACGCTGGAAAATACGGTATATAGATTCCTGTTGGACAAAACTGGGACAATTTCCACTTAAAAAAAAAAAAAACTACAGTGAACTTAAACATATTAAGTATGTTTAAATCCATGAATTCATAATCAAACAACTATTTTCACCAATATCCCACCTCTCAAATACATGGCTCACTTTTGTAAGATACAGAACTCATATTTTTTGGAAATTGGTAATAAAAAGAAAGCAGTTATCTTGCATTTCTTATATAAAGAGCATCTCAGCCCAGCCAGTGTAGCTAAGTAGTTGAGCATCAACCAGTGAACCAGGAGGTCATGTTTCAATTCCCTGTCAGGGCACATGCCCT